ATCACCACTATCACCACCACCATCACCACCATCACCATCATCACCATCCCATCACCATCACCACCATCACTATCATCACCATCCCATCACCATTACCACCATCACCATCACCACTATCACCACCACCATCACCACCATCGCCATCATTATCATCACCACAATCACCATCATAAGCACCATAATTACCATCATCTCTGTCAACATCACCATCCCCAACATCCCCATCATCACCATCACCATCATCACCGCCACCACTATTACCATTATCACCATCACTACCATCATCATCACCATCCCCATCATCACATCCCCATCATCACCACCACCACTATCACCACTACCATCACCATCATCACCATCATCACCATCCCATCACCATTACCACCATCACCGTCACCACCATCACCATCACCATCACCACCATCACCATCATTACCAATATCACCATCACCACCACCACCATCACCACCATCACCAACACCAACATCACCATCGTTACCAATATCACCATCATCACCACCACCACCATTACCATCACCACTATCACCATCACCAACATCACCATCATTACCAATATCACCATCACCACCATCACCATCATCACCACCACCACCATTACCATCAACACCATCACCATCACCAACATCACCATCATTACCAATATCACCATCACCACCACAACCAACATCACCACCATCATCACCACCATTATCACCATCACTGTCATCACCACCATCATCATCATCACCATCACTACTATCACCATCAACACCATCATCACCACAACCAACATCACCACCATCATCACCACCATTATCACCATCACTGTCATCACCACCATCATCACCATCACCACCATCACATCACCACCATCACCATCATCAGCACCATCAATATCACTATCACCACCATCACCATCATCACCACCACCATTACCATCACCATCATCACCATCCCATCACCATTACCACCATCACCATCACCACCATCACATCACCATCATTATCAATATCACCATCACCACCATCACCATCATCACCATCACCACCATCACCATCACCACTATCACCATCACCACCACCACCATCACCATCACCAACATCACCAACATCACCATCATTACCAATATCACCATCACCACCATCACCATCACCACTATCACCACCACCACCATCACCATCACCAACATCACCAACACACCATCATTACCAATATCACCATCACCACCACAACCAACATCACCACCATCATCACCATCACTGTCATCACCACCATCATCACCATCACCACCATAACCAACACCATCACTATTATTACCATCATCACCATCATCACCACCATCATCACCATCACTGTCATCACCACCATCATCACCATCACCACCATCACCAACACCATCACTATTATTACCATCATCACCATCATCACCACCATTATCACCATCACTGTCATTACCACCATCATCATTATCACCACCATCACTACCACCATCACCACCATCACCAACATCACCATCATCATCCTATTATACAGATCATCAGTGGAGCAAGTTGAGTCCAGCCTGTTTACCTCCCTGCCCCAAACAACTCCCCATACTTCCCTAGGAATCAGGTTCTCTCTGTCACAGGGAGAAACTCCAAAGGGGGTTTTAGGAGGGTGGTGGACTTACAGTTGACCTGGACAAAGAGCACTGCCTCATCATGCCCAGCCATATTCTCTGCCCTGACAGACACACGGTAGATGCCGGGGCTCTCATAGCGGTGCCGGATGGGCTCTCCAGTCAGTGTGAGGTTCACATACATAGCCTTGAAGCCGTCCCCAAGGTCCACCTGGTACTTGGTGGTTAGAACATCACCCTGCAGGGAAACACCACGTGGCCACTCAGGAGTGGCCCTTTAAACTCAGGGGCTGGCAGTGGCTTAGTCCCTTACACATTAATCTGCTCCCTCCTTTCCTCAAATCTCTCAGCTTTGGGGACCCACAGGGGACCAGGTCTGGTTCCACCTATGAGATTCTAGCCTGGAGTACGGGGCTGATGCAGGCAACCCAGGAGGGGTTTGACTGGGGGGCCAGAGAAAGGTTGCATTTTAGAACAATAACCCAGTGGCAGAGAGGGCAAGTCAAGGGTGTGAGGATGACATCAGAGAGCAGTTTGGGGTGGGGTGAAGGCCTCAGGAGACCCAGTGAGGCCTATGCCAGACATGGGCCAAGATGTGAGAAGAGGCCTCTCCTGCTATAGAGGGTTCAGCATCGCGACTGGGAAGATGCACACATTTGGAGACCCTTAAACAGTCTCTCATCTGTGCCACTGGGGTTCCTATGGTGCCAGGAATGAGGCTCGTGCACGGCGGGGTCTGTGCTGCGGGGAGGTCCCACCAGAGGCCGGCCCTGTGGCATTTGATCACCCACACAGCTGTTTTTATCACCGTATGCACTTCCCTGCCATGAGCGTTATCCTTCCAATAACTGTATCTGCCTCAGTCAAGGGAGGGAAGCAAACATGACGTCTTTGACTCTATGTCAGGAGAGAGTTCTTCTGTCATTACCGTCTTCTCTCTCCCTTCCCCCCTTTGTCTGTCTCTGCTACTTATCCCCCCAATAAGAAACACCCATGAAATCATTTCCTAGTAAGAATGAAGCGGGGTGATTACTAACCATATTAGCAAACTTCTTAGTTTACAACTGTCAAGTCACAAAAATTAGTAGCCTATTTTTACATAACTATGTTCATTTAACTTTCTCTACAATAGGGCATAACTGGTTACATGGTGTCTCCCCAAGTTCATGTCCACTGGGAAGCTTAAAATGTGACCTCATTTGGAAACTTTGTGGCTGTAGTTAGTTCAGAAGAGGTCATCCTGGAATAGGTCAGGCTCTGAATCCCAGGAGCAGTGTCTTGACAGGGTGGGGTGGGATGGGGTGAGGGTGGAGCTTGAGGAGCAGGAAGGAGGAGCCTGGAGGAATGCTGCTGCTCCAAACCCAGGATACCTAGAGCTGCCAAGGCCCGGACAAGGTAAGAGTGGGTTCTCTTCATAGCCTCCTGCTGTCTCAAGCCACCCAGCCTGTGGGCATTTGCTGTGGCAGGCCCAGAGCCCAGGACACACCGTGCTGTGCTATCCCCATTCTGCTGTTAGAAGCCTGAGGCTGATGCTGTCTGAAGCCCAGGACTCAGGAGGCCCTGCCCATTGCCCTCTCTCTTTAGGGGCAGCCTCACCATGGGCAGAGTAAGGGGAGGGCTCAACATGGAGGGAGGGGTCTCCTGTGCTGCACTTGGGCAGCGGGAAGAGTCAGAACCCACAGTCTAACCACCTGGTGTGAGGACTCTGTGCACGTTTAACTCCTTAAACATTTTACTTGGTTAAAACAAGAACAAAACTAGCACATTCTCCATGTACAAAGGACAGAAAATACAAAGTGAAAACCAAACTGTTATCAATACCGTGGTACATTTCATTCAGGTCTACTTATATGCATGCATTACTAAGGGCTTTTGAAAAAAATTAGATGTTTTATTGGTGGATAAGGATACATTCATGCAAAGTTGTAAGGAATAACATAGGCGGCTCCTACATACCCTTTACGGAGTTTCCCATGGCTAACGTCTTGCAAAACAAGAACAACTAGGATGTCCACATTGATACAATCAAGACACAAAACAATGTAACTCTGCTAGATCTCTCCTGTGGTCTGTACTCACCCACCTCCCCTCATCAGCCCCTGACCCCATGGCAACCACTAATCTGGAGTGTTGCCATTTAAAGGATGTTCCATGGGTGGACTCAAAATGAGGCATTATGGGGTCACAGAAGTGGCTTTTTCACTCAGAACAATTCACTTGGGCATTATCCAGCTTATTGCACATCCACCGAGCAACATCCATGGTACAGGTATACCAGGGTTTGTTTAAGCATTCGCTCCCTGAAGGACATTGGGTTGTTTGTGCTTTCTGGCCTTTACCAATAAAACTGTTATGAACACTCATACATGTTTTTTACTTAAGCATCGGTCTTCATTTCTCTGGGACAAATGCCCACAAATGCAATTGCTGGGTCATGTGGGAGTTCCATGTTTAGTTTCCAGACCAGCTGTGCTGTTTTCCATTTCCACCAGCATCTGTGAGTAGGCCAGTTTCCCTGCATCCTCACCAGCATTTAGTGTTGTCACTATTTTTTATTTTAGCCTTTCTGATAGGTGTGCAGTGATGTTTCACCGTGGTTTTAATGTGCAATCCCCTGCTGGCTAATGATGCAGAACATCTTTCTATGTGCTTATTTGCTACCTGTACATCCTTGAAGGAGTGAAGGAGGGGCCATCGCAAAGATGCTGGATTAGAATATTGATTATTTCTGGTTGAAAACCATGGAGAAATTGTAGTTTCAGAAAGGGTAAGCTGACTTGTCTTCCTGAATGCAACAAGTGCTAATGATTCCACTGAGGGGGTGGCCGCTCTGAGTCAGGGTGGGCAAACAGCCCTTCGCCCAGAGACTGGGAGCTGCGATGGACCCAGATAAACACACTTAGTGGAATGCCCCTTATCCTCCTGCTGCTCCACACCCCGCTATATCTCCTAGTGACCCACCTAGAAAATGTTACTGCCTCTAGTCAGATTTCCCTTGTCCTAACATCTGTTTTCAAATATATTGTTCTCTGTCTGAAAAGTACAGAAGCATCTTACTTTGGTCACCTCCGACTGGACTGTGTCCTGAAGGGCCCAGCATATGGGAAACTGATGGAATGTGTCTGCTTTTCTCTTGTTCATCTGCCTGGCGTCAGATTGATTTCTAGATCCAGACAAAGATGCCACTGAGAGCTGAAAGGGCCTGGAGGGGGTCTGTCCCCCACACCCTCTTGGGGGAAATGTCTGTCAGGTCTCACGCCCATTGTCTAGCTGGGTGGTGTATTGCCTTACCATTGAGTTCTGAGAGATCGTTATACATTCTAGTTACTAGTCCTTGTTGGATATGAAATATTTTCTTTCCCTCTGTTGCTTTCCCTTTATCTTCTTGACAGGGATGTTTCACAAAGCAAAGGTGTCTCATTTTAATGAAGCCCAAATATGTCAAATTTTCCTTTTATGGACTGTGTTTTTAGTGTCAAATCTAAGGATCATTTTCCTAGTCCTAGAGCCTGAATATTTTCTCCTATAGTTTTTCTAAGAGTTTTATGCTTTTTTAACACTTTACATTTGAGTCTGTGATTCATTTTGAATTGATTTTTTTTTTTTGAGACAGAGCCTCAAGCTATCCCCCTGGGTAGAGTGCCATGGCATCACAGCTCACAGCAACCTCCAACTCCTGGGCT